TCGCAGCCTACCTAGACCTTGGCCAGTCGGTGTCCGAGATGGATCGGTACTATTATGTGTTATAAAATTGGTAGGGCTATGAATGTTTGTTTGTTTGTAGTGCCAGGCGGCAGGGACTCACCTGATCACATCAACATCTAGGACGTCCAATCAAGGGACCCCCGGGTCTAGGTGACGTCACATGCTCTACCTATCTAATAGAATAGGCTGGCACCAAGATGAGTCGAGAGTTGAAGCCCAGATACCAAACTGAAAGGGCGTACAATAATACAAACGAGCATAGGAAAGACTGAAATGTCAAGAAGACAAGGTAAGTAACCTGTGTCCCAGTCTGTTGTTGTATGTAATGCCTGGAGAGTAGATGTTATAGGTGTATGTATGTATGTAGATAGGTGTAGAGAGACCTCTATAACTTTACGTGCTTAGGCCCTAGGTAGGTAGAATTGTTAGGCATTTTCACAGAGGATTTTATTATCAATATGTATTAATTTTTCTTTCAAATTTCTCTTTCACAGGAGAAAGTCGAAGCAAAAATTGGTGAAATTTTTGAAAAATTTGCTACAAGTTCAATGAAAATGTAAGAACGCTTGTGTAATTGCCAAAATACAATTGTTTATTTTTCTGTGTAAAAGCTATATTACTTACTGGTCAAAAATTTTATCTGGATTCAAAATAAACTAATTAACAGCTAACTTCAACAGCTAATGATATCTGGCCGTCAGCCAGATGGAATGTCCTGCCTGTAAAAGTAACTGATTTATTTACATAGAAGTGTCTTTTACTGTAAAGTATTTTATTTGCGTTGGGATACATCAAAAACTAACTCAAGTTTTCACGGAAAATCGATAACAAATGTGCAGAATCGTTAAAATACTGCGAAATACATTGGTTATATAATGATGTGGGTCAAGAACTACCTGGTAACTTCCTACAAAATTTGCTCTGAAATCAGTCCTTATTTTCAGAAATGTGCGGACAAATTTCTATGTCTAAACTTTTGAGTGGGTAATACATTCCCAGTGCAGGCCTTATTCTACAGTCTGTAAATGTGTGTGTTTTTTGATATGTTTGTACAGTATTATTTTTTACTTTAATAATCTGATCATACTTTATTAGGTGCCATAGCAAAATTTGCTAATTCACTCAATCACAGATCCTATATATGACTCAATGCACATCACATATCAGAATCTCTGAATATATTTTTTTAATTTTGAAAATAAATATTTTTTTCTGATTGTTGATTCATTGCATACTTCCTCGGAATTGTTTGAAACTTCTGTTGTTTCTGATTTTCTGCTTTTTGTTTGTGCACATACTCATTACTTATTATTTGTAGAGTTTATTTTAACTAACTGTTTGTTTACTTAAGAAATGCATGTAATGATATGATAAAATATTATTATTATTCAAATGTTTTCTATAATATTCTATTCTTACCATAATTATGTATTTATTAATATTAGATTAATACTAGATTTTAAGAAAGTATTAATAGTTATGTTTTCAGACTCATACAGACTTTATTGCATCCTTTTATGGAAATTCCTTGCTCGTATACATTATTAAAACTATAAAAATTGGTTGAAATATAAAGATTTTCAATACAGATTGAAAGACAAAAAATTAGTTATGTTTAAAAATGTTATTAAAGAATTGCTTGAGACATATGTGTAGACTTGGCTTCTTGTTTTGAGTATTTACCAGAGAAGACCTGGTACACTTTGACCTGGTACACTTCGACCTGGTATACTTTGACCTGGTACACTTTGAGCGAGGAGGGTCTCAAACCAGTGCTAATGTTGTATAATATTCCATTCTGACTATATAATTATGTAATAAAGAAAGTATTAATATTTATGTATATACAAAACATAAATATTAATACTTTCTTTATAATATTCTGTTCTGACTATATAATAATAATAATAGTATACTCTATAGGTTTTTGATTTAGCACCCTATAATAGATAAAATATTATGTACTGAAAAACTACAAACTTATCTTCTATATATAATTAATAGTATTTGTATTTATAACATTTATAAAAAAAACTTCCATTGTACATTGTTTTTATATGACGTGGTTTGTGCTTTTTCTTTTTTTCCAATGTCTGTTTTTGTATCTTGTCTTTTAACCACTTTCAAAATTGTATTGTTCTTAATTAATTTTATGTAGAAGATTATCTAAATTCAGCTTTTATTATTAAATACAGTATAGCATTATGAATGAATGAATATTTTATTTTAGTCCAAAGCTTCAGAGAGACAAACACCTAGCCTACCTGAACAAAGGATTGAAGAACTTGTCAGAATCGTATCAATGCCTGGATGCTAGCAGGCCTTGGTTGTGCTACTGGATCCTACACAGCCTTGAACTTCTGGGTGAGAAAATATCAGAAGAACATGCTTCTCAGTAAGTGCAACATATTCTTAGGACCAATTGGTTAATGAAAACAGTTATTAGTGTGCTGGAGTGGTAAGTCGGGGTGCCATGACATATATCCAGTACTGGATTGAGACCCTCCTCGCTCATGATGTGGTTAGTAGCACCAATACTCTTGGGTAAGTACATAAAATTGGAAGCTCAGTGTACGCTTATGTCCCATGTGCAATTTTCTGTTTCTCTTTAACCCCTGTCATGGAAGGATATGACTACTAGTATCTCTCTTGAACAACTAATGGTGTGTTTCTATTGATAAACACAAAATAATCAATTTTTTAAACCGCTTTTTTAATGAGTACCAGACAGCCTGCTTGTGTTGCAACTGCATTTTTTATTTTTAGAAAATTGGTTTTCGTGAAGGAAATTACGTCACCATTTTGTTTATACAACACGTTGTTTTCCTAACTGTATAGGATAGTATCTTTTTCATTTCTGTCATGATGACGAGTAGTAAGATACGGTGTGGGGCGAGAAGCAAATGTTTTCGGCTGTGCTCATCGGCACAATGAACGAGCGACCAAATGAGGACAACGGTAGGCCCAAAAAAGCGGAGAGGCCTAGGCCCAATATCCCCCCACAAAATAATTACACAATGAATTCGTCGCTCTTTTGAAAGTTCGCGCCTAATACGATCTAGTCTTTGCAGTGATTGACCTGGAGGTCAAATTTTACCTGATAATTGCTTTTTTTGTGTTGCAGCTAAAAGGTGCACAGCCAAAATCGGTTATTTGCCGTTCAAACACGCTATCCATTGCATGTTTTTAATAGATTTTTTTTTTATCGTTTTTTTCAAACTGGTCCCGTTTCTACTGCGAGAATAAAAGCGATTTTTCTAAAAAGCGATTTTTAATCGATTATTTCTTTCCAGTAGAAACAGGCCCTATGATGCTAACTGGCTACACCTGTATGCAATTCAGTACAATGACATAACAAGGTTATGGATTAATTGACTGCCTTTACATTTACCTTTAATTGGGGGTCTGCAAACCATAAAAACTGTTATCAAATCAAACCCTATTGCCAGACTGTAAAATAAGGCTTGCACAGGAAATATATCCACTACACAAAAATTAGGCTTAGAATTCCATTCCCGCATTTCGGAAAATAAGGGCCGATTTTACAAGCAGTTTTTTGCAAAAAATTAGACCAGTGTATTAGGCAGTAGTTACAGTTCTGCGCACCTATTTTTCTAGCAATTTTCTGCAAAAATTTGCATTAGTTTTGAGATATCCTCCGTGAAAATTAAATAATTTACAGTGTTTGGATTTTTAATAATCCAAATTGCTGACTCCTTCACATCAAAATTGTGAATTTTTGTTTTATAGGGTTGCACAATTTATCGGGAAATGCCAGCACCCAGAAGGTGGTTTTGCAGGTTAGTATGGGTAACATTTTGCCTTCTGACATTATTCGCCTCCCTAAGTGGAGTTCTTGGTAATTTACATGCTTGCCTTTCAATGACCAAGTTATTTTTCATGAATATAAAAGACTTCTAAAGTGTCAATTTCACAATATCATCACTTCCATTCTGTAATTTGCAAGCCATTCATTGTTAGATAAGCATGACAAAAAAATCAAAATTAAAAGAAATTTTTATTTATGTATTATTTCTTTATCCTGAAATGCACTTTTAATACAAATGTACTGATTTCCAAAGTGTTCAGTTAAAAACCGAAGTAGAAATAAAATCAAATGATACAGTGTAACTTAACTAATAAAATTTTAAAAAGAATTTCTAGCAAACAGACAAAGGGTACACAGATTAAAAGTTATTCCAATTTAAAGTTAAAAGAAAGTGTAATAAAGTTTGGTAATTAAATTGAAATAACATTTTTGAAGGTAGATATTGACATATCTTTAAGGTCATTTTTAATGAGATTTGGGAAAGAATTCCATAATTTGGTTGATCTGTATTTAAAAGTTCTTTTACCTTTTGAGAAATATCCCATTTAAGTGAAATTAGGGTATTAATTATTTAGACTATGTGTACATTCGTTATGACTATCTTCAGTAAAAATGAATTTTGATGACAAATAAGATGGAGCAATACCTTTTAAACATTTGAAAAAACATTATAAAAGCTTGCTCATTCCATTTGTCATAAAGTCTACTCCAACCAAGAGAATTTAAGATATCAATGGCCAGAGTTTTATTATCTATAGATAATAAAATTCTACCTAATCTAGTTAGTTATACTTATAGTGTTGCTATATTAAAACAATTTACTTTACAATTTGACCATCAAACAATAAAGAAATAATGGGATGGTGAGTGCTTTGCCTAATATTTACTCTACAGATTATTCCAATCCGTTTTGCTATCTTGGAAGAAAGGTTGTCGATATGATCTTTCCATTGTAATTGAGGGTAAAAAATTATAAAAATTATACCAAAGTACTTATATGAATTAACTCTCTTATCTCATTATTATATGATGTTGAGATTTTGTTGAATCTAGAACTTTTGGCATTAGTACTGACAATTATAAGCTTTGTCTTTTATTTATTTATTATTTATTCAACTTTTTATGAGGGTAGCTATTACAGCGATGCTGACTCAAAGAGGCCCTCATAACAAATACAAAACATACAGTATAACAAAACAAATACAGTAATACATGTAAAATATATATAGCACAATTATAAAATATATAAAGCACAATTATAAAATAGATTTTCGTTAAAATTTTTAAAAAACAGTCTTTTTTAGATTTAAAGTAAGTTTATTATTTAATTGTGAGGTACTTGAAGTATGAGTATGCTCTAAATACTATTTTGAAAATTTAAAATAGTGTCTCTTTGTGCCTGAGCTACCCGGTAACCAACTACTCTCGTCTGTCCAGAACAAGGTCTGTTTTCTACCTGTGAAAACATTTTAGAGTTAACAATGTTTTTTCTTGTAATTTTATTGTTACTATATTATATGTTTTTATTTTAGGTGGTCCTGGACAATATGCACATTTAGCACCTACTTATGCTGCTGTATTAGCGCTTGCGACGATAGGAACAAAAGAAGCATATGAGGTGGTAAATAGGTGAGAACACCCTGAATATATATAATTGATAAATTTTCACAATATATGATAACCGACTTCAGTATGGCAGGGTCTCAAGAGCTTTTATAGAAGGATGTGAGGGCAGCAGACGGTGATGGCAAAGACCGAGAATTTTATACATGAATAATATATTAACAATTAAGACAACCATGAATTATCTAGAGGCAATAGATTAGAACACGGGTAGACGGGAAGGAGAGGGGAGTGACAGATAGGCATTCTATTACATCAGCCCTAAATTTGAAAAACAGTAAATTTTAGAAGAATAACCTACTATTTTGTACTTGATTCACACAAGATAAAATATTATATTTGATGTGTGATAAATTTTACACAGACTTCACAAGAAATTCCTACTGATACCGTCGTTTCCACATCAGCCATTAAAAACCTTGCCAAAAATTTGTAAAATTTTTTCAGTGAATATTTATTTATTATTTATTTTGGTATATAGTTTACAATCTACAGGGAATAGCTGAATTTGATTTGCATTACAATATAAAAACATATAAACACATTTAGAATATAAAGAGGCATTGAGATTGATTGCTATATAATAATAATAATAATAATGTTGTATTTATATAGCGCATATTGCACATTGCCCCTATGCGCTTTACAGAGAAATAATATAGGCCAACTGAGAAAAAGCAAATAACAATAAAAATAGTAACAATACATTAAATACATTAAAATTACCAAAGAACTAAACAATTGCAATTAAAAGTTGAGGTGTTATTATTTGCTGTCAAACAAATATAAATTCTAAATATCGAAAAATAAATCCTTAATTATTTACACACATTATTATTTTATGTACACAACTCAAAATTACCATATAAAAGTATATAAATCCTTAACCAGTTTTACCTATATTTTACCATTTATTCAAATTACAAAAATACAATTAAAATGCATTAAATATATAAAAATCACCATTATTTTATACTGTAAAATCTGTATAACTGTAACATTTATTCTTAAATTACATATTATTACATAGGCATAAAAAGAAGCAGTTGCTTGTCAGTTAGAATGCCAAACATACAAAACACATGATACATGGAAAGACAGCAAAATATTATTTTTATTTATTGAAATTAAAATCAAAATTATTGTTCATTTATATTCACAATTATTGAATATTGATAGTTAATATCATCATAGTATGTGGTTTAAGTACTTTATACCAGCCTGAGTGGCGACGATTTGGTTTGGATGAAAATTATGATTGACATTATAGATGTGTCTCTTTTTATTCCTCAGGGAAAAATTAGCAAGTTTTCTGATGCGAATGAGGTCACCAGATGGGGGGTTCCTCATGCATGAAGGAGGAGAAATTGACGTCAGGTAAAAACGATGTCTTGCTGACTGTAAACCACTTTAAGCACCATACTTTTGATCAGTATTTTTATATTATATTTTTCTTATGTTACTAAAGTTTGTAGTATATTGTATTTAATTATTCTTTGGTATATATATATTGTTGCCCTGTAAGTTGTTCTCTGACTTTCTAAATTTATAGGTGGCATGGTTCTATTTTCATTAGATTTACAAAGAAAATAATAGAGAGCTGGAAAGGACTTTGGTATTTTAAAAATGAGATAAATATGTGACCTCAATTTGTAAAATGAGATATACATTGAGTGAAAAATGCATTCGTCCAGGAAAAAAAAAATTATTATTTATTGTATTACATTGTTTAGTGCAATTTGTGATGAAAAATACACTTTATAAAATGTAATCAATCTAATTTTATTTTTTAATTTACAGAGGTGCTTATTGTGCAGCTGTAGCAGCTAGACTAACAAACATTGCTACAACTGAAATGTTTGAGGGGACTCCCGAGTGGATCGCTAGGTAAATATAAAGAGCAGTTGGCTATGCATGGGTCTGAGGTCTGCCACGAGTCGCAGTACTAAATACTTGATCATATTTTATTAAAAATCTCGTATTTATCATGTTGATATACACGAAAGGCAGTTTGGCAGAGCGGTTTTCTATTCTGGTTATTGAATTGTGGCCAGAAGTTGCTGACCATTCATTCTCAGCATCCATGTTTAGATACCAAGCTTCTGAGTTCAAAATTCATTTTATTTGCTTTCCCGGTACAATGGATGATAATACTAATATACTAAGGGCAAATAGAAAAAATTATTAGATTATCACTCCCGCCCGTGTCAAAAATTTGGGAAATATTGATGCGGGAATTTTAAAAAAAATTTTTTGCTGCATCAATTATTTCAACAGCATAAAAATAACAATGCAATTTTGTGACTTCAAATACATTTTCTGTTAAAAAACTATAAAATTAAACCAGTTTTTATACAATATTTACTATTACAGACCAAAAATTACAGACCAAACAGTCTCTCCCTCATCGATAAAAACAAAAGCAAAATAATCTATTGTTCCGATTAAAAAAAAAACCGTCCTCCCTCAATTTTTTTTTATAAAAAAGAGTGATAATCTAATAATTTTTTCTATGTGCCCTAAAATATAAAGATATAAAGCACATATTGTACAGAATTAACACACACTGAAAAACATGGAAAACTAAACAGGGCAAAAAAATAAAACTAACAAATCTTTTGTTTAACGTCTTAATTGCATTGGAAATGAATGATTTTTTGTCTGATTGTTTTTGTTAATGAGGTAACAATTCTACCGTATCTGCGTAAACAGATATAATTGCGAAGTGGGTGGTGTGGCTATTATCATTGATTATATTATACATTATATTATTTTTTGCTGACATGCTGTAAAGTGGTTCGTGATATGGCTTTCTAGTCTTGTGTGGGATGAATTGAGTAAAATGAAGTACATATTTTTAATTCAGATTTTAAAGGAAATGGTGGCACAATTAAGTTTTGTACTGGAGTTGTTTTGATATTGATAAATACAGAATACATAATATGCTTTATTTACTTAGCAAATGGGTCTAAACATTTTATCCTATTAATATTGTCTTAAATATTAATATAATTTTTTTTCAGCTGCCAAACGTATGAGGGCGGTTTTGCAGGTATTCCTGGTATGGAAGCACATGGCGGATACACATTCTGCGCTGTTGCTGCCCTAGTGCTCATGGGACACGATAGGCTATGTGATACAGAAGCATTAATTGTGAGTACGAAGTACCATATTCAAATAATTTATTTGAGTATATACGTATTCATTTTATACCAAAAAATATAAACGCCTCCTTTCAATAAACACCTCCCTCAAAAACCCATCTCAACAATAAATGCCCCGGGGCGACTATTCGAAAAAAATCAGTATTTTAATAATAATAATAATAACATGCTACTATTCTACATCACATCTTCAAATTCAGATATTATTTATTGTCACTTTAAGCAAAATTAAATACATTTACAAACTTGGAATTAGAAAAAAAGTACATTAAATACAAACAACACTTATAATATTACACAATGTTAAAGACTCTTCAATTTGTCTTTGTGCTTCACAGTATTACTTCGGTTGTTCAATCAAACACCTATTGAACTCACACTCGCCTTCCTAGGCAGAATTCTATAATGTTTCACCTCCTCCTCCCATTAATTACTGAATTTGGCCAATTTTGGGGTGGTCTCATAAAAAGCAAGTCTGCAATCTTAGATTATTTCACCTGCTTAAGACGGCATTAAAAAATATGCTAAAAATAAGCCTAAGCACTGTTGCACTCAACAGTTTGCTGGCCAATACTGCAGGAGTCTGTATGAACACTCGTAACATACTGTAATTGGTGGGTTGGATGTTGGAAGCGCTTTGAATATTTTCTTCAAATTAAATTTAATAATATATATGTAATTTACTTTTTTCTTTTCAGAGATGGCTGTCTAATCGACAAATGAGGTTTGAGGGCGGTTTTCAAGGAAGAACAAACAAACATGTCGATGGCTGTTACTCACTATGGCAAGGCGGTGTGTTTCCTTTAATACACAAGATTCTCAATTCTTATGGTGACAATGCTGTTAGCACAAAATGCTGGATGTTTGATCAAAGTAAGAAGGACTATTAATTAACAGTTTTTTCTGTAATCATATTAAACCATATTAATGGAATTTTAAATTTAGGAGAAAAAAAATTGTTTGACATGTTGTATAAATGAGTTTGTTTTTAGACACTGAAGTGGTGTTAAGAAATAACAGCAAATAAGATTGAATACAGTAGAACCCCTCCTTTGGCACACCCCTCTTATGGGGACATGAAACGAGGAGAAATATATCTTTTAAGACTATGGCCAACCCCTATTAAGGGGACACCCCTATTAAGGGAATGGGGACATTTTCTGAGAGTGCCAAATGGTCAAATCAATATAATTTAAGGGGACACATATTTTTTGTATTGTATCAAATCAACTATAGTAGTCTCGAAATAAGAAAAAAAATCACACCTTTTAAGCAATAACCTTAACATCAATTTTTTTTTTCTTTCAATCTTTAGAATGGACACTGGTGTATGCCTAGTGCATGTCTTACTTCATATAAATACAGTCTAGATAATTTTGACAAATAAACCATGGGGATTTCTTGCTTTGTATATTTTCATATAGGATTCTAATCTATATGGTACAGCCTGCACCCTGATGGGGGAAAAGGGGGTTTTGTTAGAAATGCTTTATAAATTATAATTGTTACATGATTTATGATTGATTGCTATTAATCTTTTTAAAGCATTATTATGTTGCTTGAGCCATATTTTACTGAAAGCAGCTGAGTCAGCCATTTTTTGAAGTATGGTTCCAGACAAATAATGTGTAGCCTAGACCATATGGAATGAAATAGACCTTTGGCAATGCTAGCAAAAACTAGTATAGATGAAAAGACAATAGACTATACAATGTATAGAAATATTAAGTTTATTCAATGTATGGTCTAAATGTTATATAGATAGATGGAAGCCACATAATGTACCTGGTAATGGCTAAGATTACAAGACTAATGATAATAGACGTTTTTTATGTGTTCTTGTTTTCAGACGCTCTTCAGGAATACATTCTCATATGTTGTCAAAGTCTTAATGGCGGCCTTATTGACAAGCCTGGCAAGTAAGCAAAAAAATCATATCCTATTAAGAGTGATTTGTTAAAAGCGATAATTAAAAATATATCATCTGTGCGGAAGTATGCAAAAAAACTTCAAAAATGTAATTTATAAACCCTAATTGCCCATTTAAAAGGGATCAAATACATATTGACATCCAGTGGAACCCAGGTCAAATCTTGAAATTCATTTTAAATGATAAATTAGTAATTATTGTCATGAAAAAATATTTTTTGTGCCACATTACCTCAACTTAAACTGTTCTTACCTGTAAT